TAAGTCATGAATAGGAAGCTAACTTGTGATTTATAATGCTCTGTTCATTCTCCCATAGACTCAGCTAACAATGCCTGGGCTTTTAAATTTTTTTTTTCAACGTTTATTTTATTTTTGGGACAGAGAGAGACAGAGCATGAACGGGGGAGGGGCAGAGAGAGAGGGAGACACAGAATCGGAAACAGGCTCCAGGCTCTGAGACATCAGCCCAGAGCCCGACGCGGGGCTCGAACTCACGGACCGCGAGATCGTGACCTGGCTGAAGTCGGACGCTTAACCGACTGCACCACCCAGGCGCCCCATAATGCCAGGGCTTTTAAACAAAGGCTTTGGAGACCCAGGAATTAGGGCCTATAAAACTTTCTGAGGCCTGTGAAAATAAACCGTTAATCTCTGGCTCTAAAATCAAAGTGAATGAATAAATAGCTACAAAATGTACTATCTTTGTCAACTCCCTTCATTGCTAAATTTGGTATTCAGAAAATATTGATGGCACATGAAAATAATTTGTAGGTCTGATTTTCTCAGTACACAAGAATTATGGGCTATATACAAAAATTGCAGAAAAATCATGGACAAATGTAAATTAAATGTTATTCATGCTAAGTTGTTTTTAAAGCAATATTATAAAAACCTTTCCAAAAATGTACAATAAAAAGTCTCTATTATTGGGGCGCCTGGGTGGCTCAGTCGGTTGGGCGTCCGACTTCGGCTCAGGTCATGATCTCGCGGTCCGTGAGTTCGAGCCCTGCGTCGGGCTCTGTGCTGACAGCTCAGAGCCTGGAGCCTGTTTCAGATTCTGTGTTTCCCTCTCTCTCTGACCTTCCCCCATTCATGCTCTGTCTCTCTCTGTCTCAAAAATGAATAAACGTTAAAAAAAAAAAAGTCTCTATTATTATCTTGGGCTGTGGGTACATTTTACTATGTTTGATAGGATGGTAGCAAGGGCGAGGCCCGGCTTAGGCGACTGGCCTGTGACTCTGCTTCCCTTGCCCTCAAGCCTTCCCTCAGTGCCTTTTGGAAATCCACTTCATGGAGAATCAACTCTTCACCCTTAACCTGGCACAGAGCACTTCCTCTGTCTCCCTGCTGTAAGCCCCCAGCACCTCCCACACTAGCCCTGGGGTAGAAAATGGGGTTAGGCTCTCCTCACTTGTCTTCCAGATCCTGCCCTTCCAGTCATGTGCACAAATCTCTGTTCCTTCACAGCTCAGATCATCCCACCTTCTTGTTCTGGGCTTCACCTCACCTACCTAGTAGCTGTCACCTCCTGATCATTCTCCCTTCTTCACTGCAAATTCTGGCACCTTCCTTTCTACCCACCCCAAATTCTGACCTTATCCTGGCCTCTACTTCACAAAACGTGGATACTGTCCCTCAACCTCACCTCTTTTCCTCTAACTCCAACGGAAGAGGGTTTCCTCCCCACATGTCTAGTGGGAACACCTACAACTAATGAAGTCCCATCATGCCTTCCACCTCACCAACCTCCTGAAAGCTTCATCACTCAGCTTAGTCATCCCCTCTATGAAGCCCCCTTATCATTATTTTAAATACTTACTTATTGAGGGGCGCCTGGGTGGCTCAGTTGGTTAAGCGTCTGACTCTTGATTTCAGCTCAGGTCATGATCCCAGGGTTGTGGGATCCAGCCCTGTGTCAGGCTCTGAGCTGAGCATGGAGCCTGCTTGAGATTCTCTCTCCTCTCTCTGCCCTTCCCTAGCCTGCATGTGTTCTCTCAAAAAATAAAATAAAGTAAAATAAAATAAATAAAAAATAAAAAATTTAAATATTTATTGAGATTATAGTCTACATACTAAAAAAATTCATCCTTTTAAAAGAAGCATGATTCAGTGGTTTTTAGTGTATTCCTGAGGTTGCATATCTGTCACTATTCCAGAACATTTTCATTACCCCCCAAAAGAAACCTCATTAACAGAAAACCTATTAACCTATTAATCTAAAGAAACCTATTAACAATCACTCCCCATCTCCATTCTTCCCTAGCCGCAGGCAACCAAGAATCTGCTTTCTGTCTCTGTGGATTTGCCTATTCTGAACATTTCATATAAATGGGATCATATACCACATGGCCTTTTGTGTCTGGCTTCTTTTACTTAATATAATGTTTTCAAGGCTCATCCACATTGTAGCATGTATCAGTGCTTCCTTCTTTTTTATGGTTAAATGATATTCTATTGTATGGATATATCGTGGTATGGGCTGAGGATCTGTGTCTCCCCCCAACTCATATGTTGAAGCCCTAATACCCAGTGGGATACCCACAATGTGATATCACATTGGGAATTTGGAGGTGAGGCCTTTGGGAGGTAATTAGGTTAGATGAGGTCAAGAGGGTAGAGCCCCATGATGAGATCAGTGTTCTTATAAGAAAAGAGAGGAACACCAGAGCTTCTTCTCTCCTCCATGTAAGGATCCAGTGAGAAGGTGGCTGTTTGCAAGCCAGGAAGAGAGCTCTCACCAGACACTGAATCTACTGGCACTCGGACCTTGGACTTGCCAGCCTTCAGAACTGTGAGAAATTAAAAGCCTGTAGTTTAAGCCACCCAGTCTATAATCGTTTGTTATGGCAGCTTAAGCTAATACATACATTTTGTTTTTAATATAATTTTATTATCAATAATAAACAAATGATGGACATTGGGTTGTTTTCACTTTTTGGCTATTATGAATAACAAAATGAACATCTGTGTACAAGTTTTTGTGTGAACATAGCTTTTTATTTTTGGGGGGTATATATTTAGGAGTAGAATTGCTGGGTTATATGGTAACTCTATATTTAACCTTTTGAAGAACGACCAGACTGTTTCCTAATATGGCTGCATCATTTACACTCCTACCAGCAATGTATGAAGACTTGAATTTCTCCACATCTTGCCAATACCTGACATTGTCTGTCTCGTTGATTATAGTCATCCCAGTGAGCATGAAGTGGTGTCTCATTATGGTTTTGATTTGCATTTCCCCGATGATTAATAGTTTTGAGCATCTTTTCAGGTGCTTATTGATCATTTGTATATATTTTTGGGAGTAATGTCTATTCATCTCCTTTGCCCATCTTTAAATCGAGTTGTCTTTATTTTTTTATTATTATTATTTTTAATTTTAAGTAGTTTTCATGCCCAGCGTGGAGCTCAATGAAGGGCTTGAACTCATGACGCTGAGATCAAGACCTAAGCTGAGATCAAGAGTCAGACGCTTAACAAACTAAGCCACTCAGGGGCCCTGGTTGTTTTTTTATTGTTGAGATGTTTGTCATCATTTAAAGATGGTCAAGTGTCTACCATTTTAAAGCAAACAAACCCTTGGCCAACTCCAAATTCCTGCTTCAGCCACTGTTTCTTGCAGAACTTTTTGAAACTGTTTTTGACACTTGTGGTTTCCACCCACTCTCTTTTGAAACTATTGCAATCTGGCTCCTGAAACTGCTCTGAGCAAGATCACCAGTGGCTGTTTTGCTACTAAATACAAAGGACACTTTTCAATTCCTAGCTTAATTTCTCTCTGGTATTTATTACTGAGTTCCTCCCCATCTTTATCGAAGGACTGGAGATCCTTGACTTAAATCAGCACATGCTTATGATTGTTCTCACAGATCTGTAGCTGCTCTCCAGTTTTCTTAATGGGTTTCTCTTATTCTACTCATTCTCAAGTCTTCACCTTCTTCAAGATTTTGTCATCAGTCCTCTATTTTCCATTTTTACATGGTATCACTAGGCACATTCACTCTCATGGGTTTAATTACCACTTAACACAGTTCATTCCTACATCGCATCTGTATCTCCTGCCTAGACTATATACTCCTGGGCTCCCAATTTACATATCTGTCTTACTTGGACTTCCATCCATCCTTAGACTTTACATGTCCCAAACCAAACATTTTATCTTCACCTCCGTAGCCCTCCATAACTCAGGAAATAATATTACAGAATTCCACACACTAAAATTTTTTGGTCATTCACACTTGTTTACTTGCTTCCATCCCAGACACCTGTTCACTAAGCCCCTACCATTTAGCAAGATGACCCCAGAGGTGCTCCCTTCCCAAACTGTGGCCAGTAATCTTTCTAACATGCAAATCTCAGCATATCATCCCTCTGTTTACATGAGCTACTATAAGAGATGGGATTACCCTGACTTTGGAGCCAGACACATCGCGATTTTAACGTTAACACCACTCACTGGCTGCAAAACTGTGATGAGTTAACTTCTCCACGTTCTAGTCTTCTTGTTAAAAAAAAAAAAAAAAAAAAGGAGAGACACACAGGAACGTACCATTTCAAGGGTCTTCCTCAGGATTCAGAAGATGCGCCCAGGTGCCTCTGGCTCAGAATCAGGCACATCAGTATATTTTAACTATTATTTTTATTAAGACCTCTCAACAGAGGCAAATCAAGTATCATCACTTTCATCCTGAAATGTGAAGATTAAATGGAATGACTTTAAACTCGTTTAAAACAAGACTCCTTTGGACACTGAAGCCTGGTAATCAATTGCAGCTCCACTCCGTGCTGATGAGCTCTCAGCTTCAGCGTCCAAAAGGTGCTCCGGAGAGGAGGCGACAGTGGTGCCACTGGCATTCCGAAATGAGGACGCAGAACCGGGAATCCTTGCCGCAGCCCCGGTCTGTCCCGAGGCGCGGCCGCAGGGAAGTGCTGACTGCAAGACTCTTCCCCGCCCCGCCCCCGCCCGTTACCCGGGCGACAGTCCCCGCCGCCCCTTCGCCCGGCCGCCAGGCTCCCAGACCCTAAGTACCGAAAGCCTTTGAGGCAGAACCCACACAACCAAAACCACAAACCACAGGAGCCATCCCAGCCAGGTCGCTTCCTCCAGTCCCCCGCCAGCACCCTGGGCGGCGCTCACTCCACCCTGTGGGCCGCGGCGGCGGCGACGGCGACCCCGGGAGGTCCCCAGGTGCGGGCTCGCCGCCGCAGGTCTGCCGCCCGGCCCGGCACTCCTTCCCGGAGCTCGCGACGCTCACCTTGAAGGACATCTTGCACATGTCCGCGGCCGCCCCTGCGCGACCCGCGCGCTTCCGGCCCGGGGCGCCAGCTCCAGCCCGCCCTCCCCTCCCCGCCGCGTTCCGCAGTGGGGCGGCCTCCCGCGCCGCGCGCTCTCGCCGCCGCCGCCTCAGACTGGACCGGGGGCGGGGCCACCGGGGGCGGGGCGGGGCCACAGAGGGCTCCGGGTAGAGCTCTGGAGCAGGAGCATCGGCGCCTGCTGTCTGCCAACTCACCTAGCAGACGCTGATCTCCGCTGGCACTGTGCGCACTCCATACATACACGCACGCATACCACACCTACACACCACACCCACATACCACTGCTCACACAGCCACAATCGCAGTCTCACACACACCAGTGTACAATGCTACACTGAGCACATTCTCCACCATCAACACACACAGTGCTGTCCACACTCCTGTCCACGCACCCTCCCTCTTTCCTACACACAGTCCACGTACATCCTCAATGTTGCTACACATACACACACTCAAGACTCCACACATACACAGGTTCACACATAATACTCCCACACTCATATCTGCCTGTACACATTACACACCCACCCCCAACCTCACACCACACATTTTCCAAAAGAGCACGGTCTGCATCAGATGACTTCCAACCTTAATTATAGCACAAATATTGATAATATAGATGAAACACGAGAAAAGAATTCACCCATTGTTCTACCACCCTATCAAGAGCTATTTTCATTTTCATTACTGTCGTTTTAGATGTTCTTTTCTTTCTCTCTCTCTTCTTTCCTAATAATCTTTTTTTGTGTGTTTTGTTTTGTTATGTTTTGTTTTCCTCCTGGGGAAAGAGCTGGGAAACAAGCCTTTTGATTGAATGAGTGATATGTGGTATTTTCCTTTTTGAAGGTGAAGAGCAAATTTTGAAATGTTACGCGTACCCCTCTTCCTTTCGATTACACCGGTTACCTCCTCCTTTTGGCCTTCCCCTTCATGGCTGGAGCATCTCAGGAGCTGTTTACTCCCTCACACATACTTGCTGCTGGCCCAGGGTTGGTTTGGGGGAAATAAAAGCAGAGAGTCACATTTTTTAAATTAAAAAATATATTGTTTTTAAAGCGTAAAAAACAATAAAAGTCTTTTTAGAAAATTCAAATGCTAAAGTAAAAGTAGCTGTCTCCCACCCTCACAAGGTAGGAATGTACTCATCCCCTCCCCCTCACCTCTGTTTGTGTCTCCTTCCCTCTTCTCAACTGAATTGGTAATGAATATTTAATTCAAAAGTAAAAGATAAAAATAAAAAATAAAAGCTCATGATGAAATAAAAAATGTTTATCTGCTATGGATAAATTGTATTACTTTGTGCTTTATTTTGAAATAAAAACATTAAAAATTTTTACAGAAAATTTCAATTTTTAAATCAAGAAAGACTCAAAACTTTGCCTTGCCTTAGGTGTTTATGGATGAGATAGTTTTGAAGTTGCCATGCAACATTATTATGAAGATTGAGCATGGGAGGTTTTGCTTTCATAGTTTTGATAAACAAAAGGAAGGAAGAGAGTATATTTTGAGTGCTGTCTGTGGGGTGGGTATTATGTCCATTCCACAACTGAAAAAACTAACTTCTGAGAGATGACATAATTTGCTGAGTGATGACGCTAGACCTTTAATTCAGTCTGTCTTGCTCCGAGGCCCATTTCCTTTTCACTATCACTTGCTGCTCAAAGTTGGTTTTGGCAGTGGTCTGGCTAGGTTGCTGATGGGATTCTTGTGGAAGTCGCGGGAGAGAATATGCCTGGGCATCATCCCATGTGCCTGGCTAAGTTCATTTTCATAATAGAGCCCCCAACAGAACAAAACCCTTGTGATCACCACCAGACAACTCCATCTAAATAGGCCCATCCAAAATTTAACAGTGACGCACCAGGCCTCATATGTGAAACCCTACCTACCCCATCCTCTCTATCCCTACCCTCTCTATCCAAATAATTTCTCACTACCCAGCAGAGTGTCTCCATCCTCGTCAGCAGTTTTCCTTGTTATCACCCTCCCTCCCATCCCTAGGTCTCTCTTCCCTCCCTCCTCTTCTGTCTGCCCTAACTCAGATCCTGACCTTCCTGGGGTTCCTCCTGGCTTAAGTCCCCCTCCTGCACCCTGCCCTTCAGCCATCTCTCTCCCAGCTTTCCTGACACCATAGTGTCTCGTGTTGCTCCTAGACTTCACTTCTGTTACTTTTGATTCCTCCAGCAGAGTTTAAATTCTTCAAAGCCAGACCCTGGGTTTTCTAATATATCTTTCATGTTCTTCAGGGGCTAGTTTGCAGCAGGAGAGATGGTAGGTGGTCAAGGTTTAGGAATCATTGATTCAGGGGCGCCTGGGTGGCGCAGTCGGTTAAGCGTCCGACTTCAGCCAGGTCACGATCTCGTGGTCCGTGAGTTCGAGCCCCGCGTCAGGCTCTGGGCTGATGGCTCAGAGCCTGGAGCCTGTTTCCGATTCTGTGTCTCCCTCTCTCTCTGCCCCTCCCCCATTCATGCTCTGTCTCTCTCTGTCCCAAAAATAAATAAACGTTGAAAAAAAAAGAAAAGGAATCATTGATTCAATAGAAGATTCAAGGGATTGTGTTCTCCATGTATCCACGGTCAGATGTCCCACCGCGTCTGTCTGCAGGCCTCCATGACTCATGCACAGACATCCGTGTTCATCTCAAATGAGGCCATATTTTCTGTCACCTTCTGTTCACGCCAGCGCAGACTGCCATGTGTATGTTCTCGATGTTGCACTGTCCCAGTTTATGCTCCAGCAGGACTTGATCTAGACAGAACTGTGAAGTAGGTTAGATTGGTCTCCTGAGCAGTCTCCCTCCTCTTTTTTTTGTGATCAGGCCCCTTCGCCCCAATTAAGAGTCTGCTCTGGACCACTTGCCTGTCTACATTCCCTATCTGACTCTCACCCCACATCCTGGCTCGTTAGCTCAGTCTCTTCACTTGGAATTTACATTAGATGAGCCTCACACGTTCCAGAGTGTAGTGGCCCAGCATTGAATAATCTGCCCCGCATCCGTGGCCCCTTTCCTGTTCCGTATCAGAACACTAATTTTGCTCAGGCATCTACCATACTCCTCCTTCGGATATGCTTCAGGGAGCCCAGCCCTCTTTTCTGCCCTAAGCTCTCTGATCTAAGCTGGTGATAGTGTCTGGATTAGGTGGAGCATGTGACAAATCCTGACCTCTGAGACATGAGAAGAGGTGTGCTGGGAGCTTCTATAAGAAAGTTTTCTTTGCTTCTAAGAGAGACACCCAGGAGGAGAAGGTCCTTTCTTCCACACTGTCCTGTGTGGATCTGATGCCTGGAAGGATGCAGTCACCTTGTGACCATGAGGAAAGCTATCTCCTGAGGGTGGCAGGACAAACAGATGGTGTCACTAAGGTCTATGTGGACAAACAGGGGCTGCCTTGTCCCTGGACTTCTTGCTGTGTAAGCCACTTTCTGTTGAAAGTATTCTGATACTGGGTGAGAATGGAAGCAAGGTTTGGGGGACAAAGGGTCAAGAACTTCAGCCACATTGATTAGTGTCCATTATGTGCTTGTATTTTGAATGTCACTGAATTTTATTCTCACTCCAACCCCCTGTGAAAGCTATCATTGATAATGAAATTGAGACTCAGAGTGGATGCAAAACTTGTTCATTATCACAAGGACTGGAAGTAGGAAAGTGGTATTTGGACCCAGGCAAAGAGAGTAGAACTCCTGCTCTGTCTCCCATGCTGTCTTACCAGGTTTGTATGCAAATGTCTGTTGAGTAAATGTCAGAATGAAGTTTCCTGTTCTGCATTTTATAACCGTAAGTTTACGGGTGATATCCCTCCGAATAAATGAATTGCTGACAAGGTACTATGAGAAGGGGCTGGAGCACTGTAGCCAAGTGGTACACATAGATTTTGATTATTAGTTTTGATAAGTAATATCCCTGCCTTTGGTAGGCAATATCCCAACCTATAACTAAATCCAGGTGATACACATAGATTTTGATTACTGCCTCTGATAGGCGATATCCCTACCTGTCTACTCAATAAATATTCTTAAGGTGGAAGTTTTAGCCTAATGAAATGAATTTTTTTTTCTGATTACCAACCCAGAATACAAAAAGAAGAGAAAAAAGCAGAAGACAACAATGGCCTATAAAACATTTTCCCAGGGTCATCAGGGGTTAAATATACCCCTGATCTTTCCTTAAGCATGCAGTAACATAATCGGAAGTATGTGTACTCTGCTTTTTTTTTTTTTTTAATTAAACATGATCGTGTGAGTATTTTCCTCTGGCATTAAAGATTTTTGAAAATCCTGCATTTAAAATTAGCTACACTATACTCTATTTAGCCTTCCTCCTATTTTAACAGCATTTAGTCCTTTCTCTTATTGTAAGTCCTTTCTTCAAAGATAAGATCTATAAGTTCCTTTTAGTTTGTATAATTAAAAATAATGCTAATAACTATTTTATACCTAAGGTTTATTCACATTCCTCATTATTTCTTTAGGATACATTCTAGGATTCCAGACTGAAAGCATATGAATATTGTGAAAACTACCAATTCATAAGTAAAAATTGCTTTTTAGGAATGCTACACCAATTTTATACGTCCATCTAAACTGTCACATTGTTATTTGAGATTTTTCTCAAAGCTTCCAATGACAGTGTAAGCAGACATTATAGGCACTAAACTTTCTATGTATCTGTTTGCTTTTTCATACCCCTGCCAGATAATATTTAGATTCTCTTAAATAAATGATATAGAATAAAACAGGGTAAAAATAAAATAAGGATTTAAAAATGTGACAGAGAAAATTGAAAATAGGAAAGATAACGCAAATCTAGACAAGAAGGAAAGCATAAAAAGAGAAGCAGGAAGGACATACAATTTGCTCTAAGCTTTTTAGCAATCAATGCAGAGGATACACTATCAACCATGATCATGGTTCATCATGTTTGTAAATTCAAAACTCTTCAGCTGCATGAAAGAAGGCCAGCTATTGCAGAGACAAGTGAAATCATATGGAGCAAGGCACAGTTTCCTCAATAATCCCTTAATGGCACATGCATCAGTGAATTTCACAGAGCTGTTT